GCAGTGGTCGCAGCGTGCAGCGAGGCCGGGGGGGTGACGGCCGTAACGCATGTTGAGGGCATCTCGAAACTCCGCAGCATCAAGACCAGTGTTGTTGTCTGTCGACGGGAGGGTGGTCAGCCAGCCGGACGTCTTGTACTCGGCGCTGCGGGAGAGGACGCGATGGCGCCGAGACGGAAGGAAGAGCTGCAACTGCTCCTCAAGGTATTCATTCTGAGTGTGTATTGCTGGGGGAACTGCTCGCCGTCTCATGCTCCCTGTTGTGCTTGCTGTTCCTCAACATGCACTGTCTGTGCCTCATTCTCATCTGTGTGCTCATGAAGGAGGCCCACAGGGTTCGTTCAGAGGTCGATGCGTTGACATGCCGGCTGGCGGCGCTCGAGAAGGGCGGAGTGAGCGAGGTGGACCGGGACAGAATGGAGCAGACCATCACTGTCATGAAACAGGTGGGTGCACATACATAATGAACGCATGTGAGACAATCTATCTGCCTCCACTCGGGGAGAGCCATACTGAGCGTGGTTGTCTCCGCCTGTTGGTTGGTATGCTGCACTGCAGCAGCTGCAGGTGCACACCGTGTTGATCAACGACGTCAAGCAGCAGCTCGACGACCTCAAGGCGCGCACAGAGGAAGACGCCCAGCACAAGGAGGCCCGGGCAGAGATCAGGAGGTCGGCCCCCAACCTACCACCCATCCACAACGATGCACGGAGGCTGCGTCATTGTCTCTGTCTTCAGATTGCGCAACGAGATGAAGGGTCTGAGTGAGGTGCAGAGCCTTTTTGAGGCCACACGGGTTTCCGAGGGCCGAGAAGCCGAGCGCCAGATGGCCAGAGTGGTCAAGGACATGGAGGCCATGCAGGCAGAGATGGGGCAGCTCAAAGGCCTTAAGGTCGGCCAGGCAGGGGGGCTAGGATAACACACACATCCGTGATACTGGTTGCTTGCGTGGCATGGATCAAGCAGGCCGAGATGGCCTCCCTGCGTCAGGAGATGGGCGACTTGTCTCGTGCTCACGCCAAGGTCGACACCGACGTCATGGCCTTGCAAGGCGGGCTGCAGCAGCTGCAGATGCACTGTGGACAGATACAGCAGATACTCACACAAATCAAGGCGCTGCAGGTACCCCCCCACCCCCACCCCCCCAGGAAGACACACAAACACCTCGGTTGATTGGTCGCTTCGTTCCTTCCTTCTTCAGGCGTCGCTGGACAGTCAGGGGGCCCGCGTGTCGACTGTCAGTGACAGCGTTGCAGACGTCAAGCAGATCACCAGCAGGCTGGCGCAGAAGCTGGACGGCCTATGGTCGAGCCACGAGAGAGATCACAGCGCACTCGAGGACCTCAGGAGGGACGTCAGGCACCTGCAGCAGGCACACGAGGAGCTCCAGAGACAAGTATATATATGAGCGGGCACTTCACACACATCTGTCTGTCTACCGTGGTGGTTCTTCGTCTGTCTGTATGTGTGTGTATGCAGCAGCAGGAGGCGGGAAATGGTGGCCGGCAGGAAGGGGCTGCTGGTGCAGCAGAGGACATGCTTGGCAGATGCATGCAGCAGATCCACAAGCTCTCCCTCTCCGTCACACAGCTGCAAGTGCGCAAACCATTCCAAAGTAATGAAAAGCCCATATGGACGGCTCTCTGCCTGCCTCAGGGCAAGATCCACCGCCACTTCGAGGCAACATCGTCCCACCGGTCCCCTTCTCTCGAGACGGAAGGCCGCCCCCCAGCCATCCCCGAGTGTGACGAGCTGTACGACTGCTCGCTGCCGCTGCCCCCGCCCGCTCTGTCTGCCACTGCGACCCACAAGCAGATGACAACACAGACGTCCCCCAGGCTGGCTGCAATGCTCGAGGGCGAGAGCAAGAGGGAGAAAGTGGGTGAGAGGAGAAGGTCGTCGCCTGACACCAAGGAAAGGTGAGTGAGTCGAGGGAAGGAGGAGCCACGCATTGCATTGACGGGAGAGATCTCGTGTGTTGTGTTGTTGTGTATGTGTGACGTGTAGTCGGACGATCAAGCGGGCGTGGGGCTTTCTCAATCCGACACCCGCAACAACCACCGCGTCAGTCGTCACCCTCAACGACATTGGTGCAGCCAGCACGGACAACTAACACAGAACACATGCACACAGCTCGTCACATATATCACCTTTCCTCTGTTTCTGTCCCGCCAGACCGTCACTCTGACGACAGCCACTACCGCACCTCATACCGCACCTCACACGCCTCACACACGACCTCACTGGACAACAGCGCCATTGTGCCGGTTGAAAGGCGAGCCCACTCGCCACTCAACAGGGCGGCACGAGCCACCGTGGCCGCGGCGGGGGCACAGCTGAGGGGCATCGGCAGCCTCGGATTCACCATGGTACGTGGACACTCAGAGAGAGAGAAAAGAGAGAGAGACGGACAGGCAGACACACGGTGACATGCAAGCGCAATGTCTGTCTGTCCTTGTGTGTGTCTGCCTCACTCTCTCAGGTTGCTCGTCGGCTGGAGGCGATGGTGAGCGGCGGCCATGGCGAGTCGGACACCGTGAGTGAGAGCAGCAAGGCGCACAGCGAGGGGGGCCGCAAGAAGGAGAAGCGGGTAAGCAAGAAGAGCAAACGGGCCAGTGGAGGAGGACAAGACGGGTGAAGCGCAAGCAAGGCAGGTCGACCGCAGCGAGTGGGGAGCGTGGTTGCCTAAGTGAGATGCGACGAGACTGATACCCGCTGCAGTGATATGCATGATATGCATGATCAATGCGACGATGGTTTCGTGGCGACGATAGATCGATTGACAGTCCCCCATCCATCACATGTCGATCGTTTCGCTGCAACCATGCATTGCGAGCAACGAGACAAAAACCAATGACTGACTGACCCAGAGAAGCAATTGACGAGCTCATCATATTGAGTGGTTCTGTGCATGGCTGAAAGCTTCGCTGTCGATATAATTGAAGACGGATCTTGAGAAAATGTCTCGGTGTCGCTGCAGGCCTTGACGCAATGTTTAGCCGCCTCAGGACTGAATGTCGGATGCAACCACCCGGCCCCACAGTTTGTCTGGGCCGGTCTGTTTGGTTGCCTCTGATAGGCCAGACCTACATCTAGGCACGTGCACACCGGCAAAGTCCATTGAGGTGTGTAAGTAGTGCCCAGAGATCTCGAGGCAGGTAGCCGAAAGAGATTCCTCGGCCTCTGTGCGCTAGCAGGACGGCCGAACGGACCGTACGCGTTCAACGCAAAGATTTGTAGTCAATCGTCTCACAATGGCAGCCGCGCAGCACACTCAGTCACACAGCACAACCACGCCACAGCCATGCGTCGCATCAACACAGCAAGAAGGCGAGTACACAAGCGCTAAAGCCACACAGACAGACAGACCGTGCTGGCCATACTTGCTGGTGGATCCCTCACACACAGGCCCTCCTATCAACAGGGTGATAACCAGCAGGCAGAGACAGCGGGACGGGCAGGCAGGCAGACAGACGGAGAAGGAAGCGACAAAAAGGTCGCCCGAGAAGGAGGAGAGCGTTCACGCGTGCACATGTATCGTCTTGTTGGTTGCTGGGGTGTGAGTTGGGTGACGGAGTAGACAGTGCAGTAAGTCGTGCAGGCACTCGTTGGCCCAGTAGGGGTCTGTACTGGCCGCCTTATTGTGTGTGTGCTTTTGTGTTTTGTGTTTTGTGTTTGTGCTATCGACAAGGCAGAGCAGAAAGAAAGAAGAAACACAACTGCCAAACCCGCCAACCAGCCAATCAGCCGAGATCGATGCGATTCAAAACATGTCGTGTGTGTGTGTGTGTCTGGATGTGCGTGTGAGCATTCACCGGGCCGGACAACCAGCAAGAAGGAAGCACAACGCCCAGAGAGACAGAGAGAGAGAGAGTCGGGCGTCGGGGGAAGGTCTGAGTGTGTGTGTGTGTGTGTAGATAAATTGGCTCGTCTCTGGTTGCCACTTGCCTTTGCTTGCGGCCAGCAGACAGACAAGGCGGCGACATAAACCAGTGTTCAGGCAGGCAGGCAGGCAACACCGGATCCATCCCTTCTCTCTCCTGCGTCGCGAGTCAGAACTGGGTGGTGCGAGTGAATGCCAGTGGTACACAAACGCACACACAACCAGGAGCAGCAGCAGCAGAAGGTACGCACACACACATATAAGTGAGTGGATCGACACATGAGTCCCCTGGT